TGGTCAGAAATCTAGCCCTTACATTTAATCTTTTCCCATTTCCCATTTTCATACCCATAACAAGCCAATACTATATGACCAATGAATATGTCCAGTCCTTGTAAAGCTTCTGTCTCTTCCTTCTGTTGGAAAGTCAAAGGAAGCACTTACGTGGTATAAAAACAAAACAAAAAAATCAAAACAAAACTTAAGTTCAGGAGCTGCCATCACTTCTCCCTACTTCATTTATCAAACGTGAGATGAGCTGCCTTTTTTTCAACTGATGGAAGGAATCTGTTGAGGGTCTGTCTTTTTCCCTGGATCTAGGAAGTATAGCATACATAGAAAAGCTAAAATTAGTCCAAGGCTTGCTTTTCCTCTCCTTTAACTCAAAAACTCTTCGGTATATAAGCGAAGCAGCAGGCATTAGCAGGCTGGATTATTTTTAAGAACTAAACTTTAGTGTATCTAAAAAGGAGAAAAGGGGGAACACATTCAATAAGTTAATGCAAGATTTTTAAAAAGTCACGGAAAGAGCTGTCTGGGCACAATTTAAGAATTACAAACTGGTATATGAAATATGGGAATACATTCTGGATGCTCAGCATAGCTAAACAAAACCATAATTCCAAAACCACAATACAAGTTAGTTCAGCCTGATTCTATTCACAGCTTCTCATCACTCCCACACACACACAATTGTCCTGGGATCAGATCTTCTTTGGTCAGCTGGAGAGAGTGGACGAGTCGCCAAGATAGGCGGAGTATAAATCAAATAAATAAATAAAATAAATAAAAAGCAATCTGAAAACCACTTTAACTATTTGGAGCTAATGAATTAAAACCACAGTCCCTGTCATATCCCCATTTACTCCCTTTCTAGAACATGCTCTTATTCTGAAACCCAGGCAGATGTTACAAACTAGGATATAGATAAAGAAAGCAAAAGCTAGAAAAATACACCTGCTAGAGAAACCAGATCATGCAAACCCATTTCAAAAGACAGCATAACAGATGGGTATTTTGGTTTCATATTTTTTAAGTGTAAAATTTCACATCTAGTTCGATTAGCAAAAGGGGTGGAATTGCAGCATTAACTAACTTTGGAAATAAAGGAAGTCTTAAGAGCATGGGTTCCTGTATTTAGGGACTGTTATTAATTCATATATGTAGAATGATAGATCTTAGCATAACACAGATTTTAGGAGCAGCTGCTAAACCCATCATGAAAAAGAGCATGGTAGAAAGTTATGTGGAAAGAGGGGCTTTTAAAATTCAATTCAGCAGCAGTGAGGAAATGAACTGAAGCTTATACAAAGATGGTATGCAACCCCAGTTAAAGTGCTGTACATATACCATTGTCTATGTAATGCACCTCTTTAACGTTATCTGCAGAGGCTACAATGTCAAAGCACTGTATGCAGTGGAAGTGTTGATATGTTCAAACTTTTTTGGAAAGCTGTCTTTTAAACTCTCTCAATTATAACTTGCTCTGCTTATAGCTAAGTCCTCTAATAGCACTTCTGTCTATTGTTGATGAAAAACATAAACAACATCTTCATAAGGATCTTATGCAATTTTTATTAGCAGCCGCTAGACCAGAAATTGCCAGACACTGGAAAACAACTGCAGCAAGATACACCATAGCCTGAGGAGTGGGGAGAGGTACTATCAGGACAGAAAACTGCATTGTCAGAACAGATTGGTACATCAAATTACATTGAAGGTTAACACACAGAAATTTCTTTATGGAAATTTGGCTCCCTTTTATTTTTTATGTTAACAAGGTGTCTTCAAGTAAATATCCACGTGTGATGCAAGCTACTTTTTAGAAGCATCTTTCCAGTTGCAAAACAGTGGCAGAAAAAAGTTCTTTATTTGATATGGCACGAGCAGCATGTGATGGGGATGTTTCAACCTTTTCACAGCATTGTGGACACATTATAGTGTGGTTCTACATGATATTTTACAGTGGTTGTGTATTGTCCGCTTCTAAGCATAGATCAGACCCTCCCGGAAAACAAAGGACTTTCAAACTTCAAGCTATCTGAAAATGGTCTGGAGAATGTTGCAAATGTCCTGATAAATGTTTCTGCCCACATGGAAACCACCCCTCCTATCTTTCACACAGGTGAGTCTCACATTTGGGGAAGGTGCAATGTCCTTGCAGAGAGCTTGGTTTCTAAAAGGAAATCATGACCTCATCATACGAAAGTTTTGCATTTAATGTATGGGGTCATAATAGCAATAATTAGTGACTAGTTCTTTTTATGCACATATTTGGGGTCTATGTGTACCCTCTTTAATATTATTTTGCCTGCAACAAACATTTTATGGCACTGGAAATGGGTTTGGGAGCTGAATTCCAAAATAAATCAAATCTTCTGTAATAAAACCAAGTGACCAGTATGCCAGCTAATAAAGTTCAGTTTCTCCAGCACTGTAAAAGGCAACAATTCTACATAAGTAAGCCTTGTTTATGGGTTCTTCTTTGTTGCCAAATGCTGATAGGAGTAGACCCTTCAGGAGGTACATTAGTGCAGGCAGTTCTTGGTATAATTAGCTGAATGCCTCCAATCACAGAGGTGTATAGCAGCAGTCTGATAATGTGCGCCCTACTGGGGGTCATTCTTAGAAAAGTCAGTTTGAAAAGCAGGTGTTGACTTCCAAAAACTCCCAAGTACTTTTTTTAAAGGCTTCGTAAAGTATGTAATTTCATTCTCCCTGCCACTCTATTTACATAGCCTGTTATTGACTTGCCAGTTTTAGTTCCACTTTTTTTTCAAATGCAAAAATCATGATCTCCCCTAGTATGCACACAAGATTTTACACACACACACACACACACACACACACACAGTCAGCTTATTTTATCAAATTGTAACTTACCAGTGACATACATTTTTCTCCACATTCATGTGGGCAAAAGAGGTTAGGAATATTTCCATGCCTTAGAGTATGCAATATGCCCATTTCCTATTTATCACTCATAGAAAAAGATTAATTATGGCAGCTAGCAGTATTCAAATATTTCTGTATTATTTCTGATTATTCTAGTGGGCTGTGATGATGTGACAAGACATTAACTAAAACATGCATTTTCTCAGCAGCTGGCTTGCTGGGTCTGCTGTAAATGATCTACAGCAATTAGATCTGAGGCTGCAACAGCTATAATTTTGTTACATATTAGTATCTATCTACCTAGCAAAAAGAGGTGAATGCCCTTTTCTTGGCTGGACACAGAAAGAGTACTTTTGATTTATTCAGCTAGACAAATGAATGGTGTATTAGAAAGATGAGCACCAATTACCACCTTTCCCATTTGGTGTTTTGTCAATTTGGTGCACTGCAAAACTTTGAAAGAAATGGGACTGAAACAAGGTGCTGTAGTGATGGAGGGCAGGACTTATTAGTGTACAAGACCAAAAACGTGAGGAAAAAAAAAGAGTATGAACTTGCACTGTTGGTTATCTGGTCATTTAGTTGTGGACCTGAAATATTCCAAAATGAGGTACGTTCTGCTCCATTTTCTGAATAAGGGTTCATCCCATTGCATTATACATGGCATGTAGAAGGGAGAAACTGAGGTGAATTACACCACTCCACGTAATATTGTAGAATGCCAAGGCTTTCCAAGATAAAGGGCAATCTTTTGTTATTGCAAGAGAAACAATACAAAAAATGTTAATTTCTTCCAACAAATGGAAAGGTATTAGTGGTATTGGCAATGGATTATCTCTTCCCCCACCCTTAAAATTAACTGTTAATATGTAGGGAAAAATTGCCTACTCTTATTAGGCGAAGGAAGAACAGGGGAAAATATATTTAAACACATAGCACCGAATTGTTTTGGTTTGTTAAGGGCTTCTGTTGAGGGGGAGGGATGGGGAAAGAAAAGAAGAGGGGAGGAACGCTGGAGAAATTGCCAGAGATTAATGAACCTTTTCCTTATTAGTGTTGTTCATGTGCTTTGTGTCTCACAGCTTCAGGCTGAGGATGGGCGGGCGCGTGTGCGGGAGGGTGCATGGCGAATGGATGACACAACGTGCCGGCGGAGGGGAGAAAAAAAACCACACCGCACACACACACATTTATGAGGCGGACGGGCAAGCAGGAGCCAGCCGTGCCTCGGTTTGTGGAGGTAGAGTGCGGTAAGGGAGGCCGTCCGGGCCAGACCATTGCTCGCGACGGCGGCGACAGCGTCAGCAGCTGAGGCGCTGCTGGTCCTGCTGTCGCCGCCGCCGCCGCCGCTGCTGTCCGTCGCCGGAACAGAATGAGCGGGAGCGAAAGAGGCGCAGAGAGCAGGGAGCGCGGAACCGGCGAGGAGGGAGAGCGCCTCGCACGTTGTCTCTGGCCCGCCGTGTGGGCGGGGAGAGGCGAGGCTGAGGGAGAACGAGAAGAAGAGGCAGAGACGGGGCTCGCAGGCAGACAGTAGTAAACTGAGGGGACAGGGTGGCAGGAGGGAAACAGACCCACCCAACCGCTCGCTGCCAAAGGGCTGGGCGCTGGGCAGAGGAAAGAAAGAAGAGAAAGAGAAGGGGCTCGAGCAAGAGGGTGGCAGACGGAGAAAAAGACAGGTCGCGGAGACGGGTGGGGTGGGGTGGGGTGAGAGCCGGCGAGAGCCTACAACCCGAAGAAAAGCAGGAATTGTGAGGGAGACCGGAAAGAAAGAAAGAAAAGAAAAGAAAAAGAGAGACAAGCGGGCTGTGAGGGGGACGTAGGGAGAGCGAGAGGACGACGCGGCGCTCGGCTTGGGAGCGGAAAACGGGCGCAGAAGACAATAAGCGCTACCTCGAGAGAAGTTCTGAGGGGAGTGCGGGGAGGGGACCTGGGGACTCAGCCGCCCGCTAGATAAGAGCCATGCAGCAGAGGGAGTGAAGGCGGGGTGGGTGGGCAGCGTGGGACCGCCAGCCAGCAGCCAGGCGCCCCCGGCAGCGGCTCTCCCACCCGGGCGGGGAAGAGGAGGCGGAGGCGGAGGAGGCGTACACCATGTCTTCCAGGAAAACAGGCGTTGTATTGTAACAGCATCCTCATCCGCAGCCCCGGCAGCCCCCAGACTACACCACGGAGCTGGGGAGGGGGCAGATCGAGTGCGTGCCTTCAAGGTAAAGTCACCCCCTGGCCTCCCTCCGCGCGCATCCACAACACCCATCTGTACGTTTCTTGCGCATTTTGTGTGTCTGTGCCATTGGTATCGGCGTGTGCTTCCTTGTCCTGTCTTTGAAGCCATTTGTTGTGTCTCTGCGCATCTAGATCTGATCAATTCAGGGTGGGTCTAAGGAGCACATGGGGAGGGGGAACACGGATGCGGGGCTGAGTCAGAGGCTTATTTGTAAACACGTCGCGAGTATTTTCGCCTGTTAAGTGGCTTTTGAAATGATCGCAAACGGTTGTTGAATTGAAAGAAGGGCTAGGCGAAATGAGTGCTTGCGGAGTTCCTCTCCACATGTCGGCATTAGGGTCTGAGAGATGCGTTTGCCTTTCCGAAGACTTCCGATGCCGGTAGGAGTTTGTGGGTTTAAACGGTAGGTCGAATTATCAAGCAGATGTCAGTGGAGACCGATAATTAGAAAGTTTTCCGCCTGAGCCACCGTTCCCTGGCTCACTATACAAGCCACGCACCTATTTCGCATGATATTAAGTCAGGCGGTTCAAGTATCTCTTTCACGTTGCATGATGGATAATGGAAAGTAATTAACTTAGGTGTAACATTTTAGTCAGTAGGTAGAATTGCAAGTGTTGTGTGTAGAATTTCTCAGAAAGACAATAGTGTAGCTATTGGTAGATAGTTTGGAATCTGTTGGAATACAGTTTTGCTGGCAGTATGTGAAATGCATGACAAATATAAGAGTACTAAGCTATTCAGTTAAAATAAATATTCCTCACTGCCCACCACCCTACGGACAGCAATTAGTTTTAATTTGATAGGAAAACTAAGCTTTTCTTTTATGTTTAAGAACTAAATTGGAGAGGTGTGGTAATTTTAGCAACTGTTTGCCCTCATGGTTATTATCTGAACATTTCACGTAGCAACACAGGTTTCTAGACATTGTGTAAGATAATGGAAAATTTCACCATAAAACGTTATTAAAATTAACAGATGCCCAGTCAAATTGTTGTATTGTTTCTAAGATATCCCTGGTATTAAAGAGCTCTGTTTTGATTTGTTAATCTGTAATACATTTGGGCTGGCATCCTTATGATGCCATGGAAAAATATGCCTGGCAGATATGAAACTTACTGTATGTCATTTGAGCCTCTGCAATCAGCAGTCAGCTGTCTGTGTAGCATTCATTGCTTGCAGTTACTTCATAGCTATCCTGTTTATACATCATACTTGAGAATCTGTATTCATTAGATACTTTTATTTTTAGAGACAAGCAAAGCATGGTTTTATTTTCTCGGTTTTTTGTACAGATAGAATCATCTTGAACATTTTGGAAAAGTACTGTTTCATCCAACCCTAAATCAGCTAGCAGTGTTTCATTATGTGCTTTTACTGTTACTGCTGCTGTGTTTAAACCCATCCATTACTATTACCCATTTTGCTGTGTGACTATTTCAGAGACCTTGTTCACTGCACATTATATTTAAAAACAACTTTGTAAGTATTTTTAAATAGAAAACTGATAACACTGGCATTTTGCTTTTTTGGGAGAGGGGGTCTGGTCTGGGTTGCTTTCCAACCTTTAATTCTCCCCCCCCCCCCCCCCATTTACACTGATCTTTTAAACAGTGTTCACCCTGAGCTTAGGCAAACTGGTATGCAAAATGAGGCTTGCCAATAACTGATCTTACATTGACTTAGCCCTCAGTTTCCAGCTGAGGTTGGTTACCTTGAGAACTGTTCTATGGGTGCTGTTAGAGCATGCTCCACTTGGGAATTTGGGTGTGTTCTCTTTGTAAAGCTACTTAATGAAGAAGCATCTCACTCTGCCATAAAGAAGCATAATGGAAGAGGTGAGCAATGATTGGCTATGGCTGCTGGGAAAAAAAAGAAAAAAGCAAAGGTAAAAGCTGTCAGTAGAATGTGGTAGATCATTATTTAAACTCTGCATATGATATTATGCTAGACAGTTTGCAGGTAATATCTCTTTAGGAACTCTTCCAAGAGGTTGGGTAGAGGGGGGAAGAACTGAGTGAAATATGTTTATAATTTGTGAGAAAATGTAACATGTAGATGAAAGGGTGGGTCTCTATAGGGATGTTGCTTAATTTGTTTTTGCTTCTTTAGTTTTGTACAAACATATTCAAAATTGTAATTTTGCTAATCAATAAAGTATTGTGGAAGAGTCCATAACTAATGATTAAAAAATCTTGTCTATGTGAATCCTTGTGACTGGATAAGAGATTCATGAAGGCTGATTTTTAGTTAAAAATGACAAATGTTGTGTAAGACTTAGACATTTCTTCATTATATGCCATACATCATCATTACTTGTAGTATTTACAGAAAGTTAACTGCTAAATATCCCTGTCGATGCGGGTAAATAAAATGTCTCTAGATTCATATTGGAAAATTCTTTATGTAGGATGGTCCACAATTTCTTCTTCTTTTTCCTGGTACACCAACAGTTTATAAATTTCAAGTATACATCCGAAATATTTGTAGGCACCCTTCTATCTACCACTGCACAAGCAGGCTAGTCCATGTCTAAATATGTTTTGTGTAAAAGCATTTTTGTTCACTCTTCTGTCTTAAATATTACAAAAAAATATTTTGCATAACGTGTAATGTTTCAGTGATGCGAACCAGCACTCATGGATATTGTAATTTGCATAAGTGTTTGTTGACTAAATTTGGCCTAAAGGACATAAGTAAGGACAGGTAAGGATTCTCTGCCTGAGCAGGGTTTAAGAATTCCACAGATGCTTACTTGACAGTAAGTCTGTAATTTCAGTGCAACCTGTTCCCATGTACATGTATATAGAAGTGCAAATTTTAACAATAAAAATGGAGCCATGTATGTTGAACAAAAACAAGAGAGTGTGTGCACACTGGCGGCTGGTCCTGAATCTTTTGTACATGTGAATACTACCAGGCAAGATTATTATATTCAGGAGAGACTTGGATATTTGACTGGCTAATCATGGAATGGTGAATTGGGACAAATAATAATCCCAGATGAATAAAGGATACCATTATTTCTCAATCTGATATTGGCATATTTTCAAAGTGAGTGTAACTAACCAGTGGTGAGGAACAAGAATGTGTCAGTTTTCAGAGAACAGACAGTTATGCACAATATCTATGGTTAACTAGCTGGAAATTTTGTTTTAAATCTTTTATTTGTTAAGTAAAAGTTGATATCCTATTCTAGTATTTTCTGCCTCCTCCAGAATTAAACAAGTATTATCTGGACATATAAAAGAGACTTGTGTTAGCTGAGGACAGTGATTTCATAAAGAATGACAAAGGAGGAAAAGCTATCAGATTTCAAGAATATGACTTTTACACTGAGGGTATGGAAATGAGTCATGGGTGTCAAACTGTTTGCCAGAAAATTCATAGAGATTGGGAGGAATCTATGTGTTTGGGCATATGTGAGGTACATGTATGAAAAGCAGCATGACACAACTCCAAGGGACAAAAACAGTATTAATAACTCAGATGAAAAATTTCAGTTCTTCTCATTGGGTCTAGAACTCAGCTTTCTCTGACTGGATATATGAATCAAATGACATACTGTCCCTTTGATATGAGCAAGTGGAACTAGATGTGCAGCCACAACATGATTTAATTTTGAAATAATAGCGTGAGAGGGGGACAGAAGCAAAATATAGAAAAATATTCTAACATGTTTTAATAAAGTATTGTGAGTTAAAGTTATTGAGTTCAAGAGCAATGCTATTTGAAATTATTTTATGGAGAAAGAGCGCAATTCACAATGCCACCATGCTGATCCTTGTATTCGTATGTTACATTTTTGAGGACTGTCCAGCCAATTACTTCAAGATCACTGCCTCCCACCAAAGATAGTTGAATGAAGGACATGTTCTGCTGTTTTCCTCCAGGATCAGATATGCTAGGATGCATTGTCTATGAATAAGGAAGAGGGTCCTGCTTAAGTGTCATGGCTTACAGGGATCATTGTTAGTGTAAATTGTTCCAAGATCTTTTAAATGTGGAGTTCAGTTGTCCTGTTTATATTTAGCTTTGTGGACCACACTACAGACAGTCAGGCTACAACATCTTCTTTTACTTTACCTTTTTAAAAAATAGGTAAACATAAAATAAACATGAAGTGATTAAGGTATAATGTGGCAAATGCATGTGCCTGGAAATGGAGACAGACTGCATTTCATTACTATATATGCAGGTAATGGCAACTGGTCAAACATCTCTTTCACTGGTTATGAATAGAGTTCATTGTTCACATTTGCACTTGGCCCAGGGATAATAGGTGGAAGAAATTTGTAGTGCAAGAAATAATAAAATGAGAAAAGGAGTGGTATAATACAGCAAGGGTTTATTCTAAAGGGGTAAACAAAGCTTTCTGGAGTAGAAATATTTATAGTAAAAAAATAATGATTTAAGAAAAGAATATATATAATTTTATCTATTTTAATATTTTGAATTATTAGAAAACACCACATTACTAAGAATGCACTGATCTGAAGCAATTTTGTGAAGTTCACTAGTTTACATTTAGAATCATTGGAGTACTATGAACTTGAAATAATTTCTGGTATCAATAAGACACAGGTGTTCTATGCAATCGCAATATTTCGAAATACAGTTGTGGCATAATGTCAAACAGTGTGGTAGTTTGAAGATAGATTGCATGTTAAATGCAATTTCAATATAAACAAATATCTATCTATCTATCTATCTATCTATCTATCTATCTATCTATCTATCTATCTATCTATCTATCTATCTATCTATCTATCTATCTATCTATCTATCTATCTATCTATCATCTGTCAAATATAAATGTTTACACAATTACATAATTCTGCGTAAGGCAATTTGAATTTCCGTAATACTCTTGGTTACTAATTGTTTCCAACTTTCTGTGACTCACATTTCCTATTCTTAAAAAACTGGTCAGCCTATATTTATATTGTGGCAAGGGGTTATATTTTCTTTATGCTCAATTTA